CGGTAAGCATTTTTATTATTGTTATTTCAATTGACCTTGGAACAGTAAAATAAAAGAGCTGGTAGCTGTCTACATGACCCATATGAATTGTGGGTTTGAATGTGAATCCATGTGACACTACAACTGTGCCCGATTTTCAGAGTATTGATTCTTGTTGATTGTAGGTCATTCCAACAGTGGCTCAAACACTAACCTTTTGGGATGATCTGGTTCTATATAAAGTTAAAATTTTAATTTTTTCACCCATATTGAAAACCATAAATAATGTGGGTTACAAGGGACAACTTGGCCAAGAATTATAAAAAGAGAAATAGATAGGGTCAACGGGTCTTTTTTTCCACCTAATTTTTTCATATATATGATCTAATCTCTTGTTATTGTGCTGTTGAACAATGAATATGTTAAAATTATCATTATATATAATGTTTATGTTTAAAATCTAGATCTTCTCTAAACTATAATCCTAGATACCCAAGGCTACAAACACTAGTACTAGCCTTCCCTTGACCATCTCCCTCCCTGATCTTATGTCAACCTCTATGGTTCCATTTATGTGTATCTATTTGGGTAACTGATAGAAACTAGAAAGAAATATTTCTTACACATAAAAGTAGATAAAGGGTTAATTTGACCAACTAGACTTAAAAAGAGTTAAGGCTACTTATATATTTGAGAGAATGCCAGGTGAATACAGGAAATACAATGGTGGTATTTATGTATCAGAAGAAAGTGGATGAATGGACTTGTATGAACCAATGTTTGAAATCTTGTTACGCTGGCTGATTTAATCATTGGTCAGACCGGCATAGAACATACCAATCGGGGCATGGACAAGAAAATATGTGAGGAGATACTCAGTTTTATTTCTTATTTCTAAATTACTGACTGTTGGTTGTGGTTTTTGTACATTGGTAAAATTCATGCAAGTCACTGAAATTTTATAAAATGATGTATAATTTTTATATCAAGTTTCTAATCTTTCCATTCATCTTGTTATATATGTAATGTGCAGTTGAAGAAGGTCCGAGTAACTAAAAAATGCTTTCTTTATCAAGTAAAAAACTTGGTCTATGACTCTCTGCTATAGGTAGAATATAAAAATCATATCAGCTGAATTCTTAAGCAATGTTAAAAATAACATGATTTGATCCTTGAAATAACTTGGTGTCTTTGATACATCTATATACGGCATGATTGTTGAAGCAAGAAAGGCCTTGAAACTCGAGTGTTGTTATGTTCTTTTTTTTTTTGTTGAATTATGCATTTTTCATCTGATGGCTTTCTACTTTTTGCAACTACTTGATACTGGCTTCTTTCATGCTGATCCTCATCCTGGAAATATGATTCGTGCACACACCATTTGTAATTTATCATTTATATCTCATACAAAAATTAGTCATATGGGCCATTATATTTTAAACATATCAGCCATATCGTAACATCTCTTACCTTTTTGAAAAAGTGATGCATCGAGGTGTTCGTATTGTGTTGAATCAATATCCACGCATCATAGAGAAAACAATAAGATGGCACAAATTTTAAATGAAACATATGCAATGCCCTTGACAACTATTCAGTTTTGAAGTCCCACATGAAGCTATATAATAAATCTTAATAGTATTTCAGTCCTTTTTTACTAGCTAGATTGATTTCGACATAGAATGTTTTTAGTTCTCAAGTTATATGTTTGTTATGTTGCATACTTCACCAGTTTTTATTCCAAGATGCCTTTTGCAGGTATAGGATGATGACAACGGAAAAATTGCTACTTCAAATCTAAAGACTGAAAATTAGGAAAAATATCCTTTAAACTTAATAGGCAAAAGATAAAAAAGTTAATGCTCAATAGAGCAGGAAATGTAATTAAGACGGAATAAGGAAACAATTGACTTAAGTCGAGCATAATAAGGGGTTTTGAAGTGGTCAAATACAGATAATGCTTTCAAGTAAAAACTAAAATGAAGCATATATATATAAGATTCAGTATATGGCAAAATCATTATACCTGAAACATATCAACCAAACCAAATTTTGGATATATCAAGTGAGACACCACAACTAAACAAGTTTAGTTATTAGCAGCTTAGGAAATCACCCAAAGAATCATTTTTTCTATTCCAAACATTGTAGGAAAGAAGTAATTACAGGACGCTAAAGATTTGGAACTTAGTGTCAGAATCGGCATGAGAGCACAGATGGCTGAGCAAACCCTCGACACATATCTTGGCGGCGGTGTCATCCCTGTAGCAATTCCCCGACTCCGGACCAGCTCGAAGTACTCCCTCGCCCCGGCGAACACTGCGGCCGCCAAGCGCCACGGTGAACACCCATCCTCCTGCCACCACGACACCTCCCGCACCCAATCCAATGCCGAGACCAAAGATCACACGCTTCCTCAGCTGCATCCCCTGGCTCCCCTTCGGCTCTACAACTACGGCCTCTACTCCCTGCATCGTGGAACCAATAAATCCAAAGATACCCCACAAGAATTGAGATCAAATCCGAAACCTTTGATGGAGGCAAGGGCACAAGAATCACCTCAAGAGAGTCCTCGCGGTGGGAGTCGGACTTCGAGGCCGCTTTTCTGGAGGAGACCAAGGCGGCGGAGAGACGGCAGGGATAGAAGCGGCGAGAGGGAAGGAAGAGACGCAGTCCGGGAAGCTGGCGGCGAGGGAGGAGGAACGATCTGGGGCTGAGGGAGAGGGGCAAGGAGAAGAGGCCGCAGCGGTCGACTTCAAGGAAGGCCGCCGCAGTGGCAGCCATCGAAACAGAGTCAAGGAGCGAATCAAAATAAGGGCGGTTGCGGTGGCCGAGAAGGCATTTGAGGCGGGGCGGCGGGATCCCGAGGTGTGGAGGAGGTTATCCTCCTCCCCCGTCTTCCGCTCTGGGTTACGTTAGGGGGGCCGGGAGCAGATCTGTTTGTGTTTTCTTCTTGTTTTTGTTTCTAGAAACCTAAACCTTTTGTTTTTGTTTATTTTTCCGTCTGCGCAATGTGTATCGGTACCCGTTTCCGTCCCCATGCGAACCATTGCGTCGAGTCGATCACGACTTGTAAGCAGCGTTTAACCAACTCCCCATATCAGGAGAATTAACTAAAATCCATCAAATTGATCTTAAATTAGTAAGTAATATTACACTTGAAATTGGAGTGCCACAGACAAATTTTGTGTGTAAATCTCGATCAATAACAACAAAAAATCCAAATTCTATGCTGCAAAAAGACATTACGTGTAAATTCACTGATGTACTAATAACATGTAATATTTTAGATATCAATAAGTTCCTGGTCAAAGGCCAACGTGGAATCAGAATCCAATCCAACAATTTAGCACGCTGACTTAATTCAATGAAAGCCATCATGTCCAAGAGCTCCTCGGTAGCTTCCATAGGGTGTCCGTATCAAATCAATTCAGAGAACTTGTACAATTCATGTGTCCACCTACACAACTGGCTGCAGAATCTATAACTCTCCTCGCCCGACCACGGGTTAGCTTTGCCGGCCTTTTCTACTCTTCCACACAGTCGGTTTGTGCAGGGCCTCCGGGGGCGCAGGTGCAGTCTCGTCCAAGTTAGGTCCCTCATGTCCGAGGCTGCCTCCCTTCGGCACGTCGCGATGAGAACGTCTCCGGATATCAAACTCTCGTGGGCGGAAGGAGCACCGGGAAGATCCATGGCGGCCAGTTTGTTCAAGGTTTTGATGCCGAGTGGCTGCGTCTCGGGGTCTTGCAACAAGATGATGCCCAGGGTGTACGCTGCGACTCGATGGCCACCCTTCATTGCCTTGTGAAGATGGTGCAGTCCCAAGCTTTTCCTTCTCCGGTTGTAAATTTCATCCTAGAAACCAACACGATAAGAGGAATCAATGTGATACAGCTATACAGATTCTTGAAACAGATTGATGCTAAGAGGAAGTGAGCGGGGCGTCTGAGCTCACCAGTCCAAGGAAGAGGCTGGCCTCAAGATTGCCGCACTCAGCGCAGCTCCGGAGGAAGGCGAAGTAACCCTTCGCGTCCAGCCAATGAAACACACGCTCTCTCCTCACGGGCATGCACTGGCCAACCTTCCTC